GTTTTCTCCTGTGTGGTTCAGCGTGGCTCTGCATGCCCTGGTATGAACTGGGCCATGGGGGACACACACCTAGACAAGGAACTATATTACAACACCTCTCCATTTCTCTGTCTCTGGCCCAGGGTGGCCTTCTGGTACAGGAAGCCGCTGTTCCATGTGCCAGGTGTCCTTCTCTTCTCTCACCAGCTCCTGCCTGCTCATGGCCCCCCAGCGCCCACCCAGCACCCAACGGTGATTGTGCCTGCACCGCCTCCGCCTTCGCACCATGTCACCGTGGTAACCATGGGGCCCTCCTCAGTGATCAACACTATTTCAACATCCAGGCAGAACCTGGACACAATCGTTCAGGTGAGAGCAGGACGCAACAGTTCCTCACCTGGAGAAGGGGGGGGGGCTTGGCCTCCTTCAGAGAGGCTGGGAAGTGGGTCCCTCCCTGGGCCTGGAACAGGCCCTGGCAGATCCCCCCCCACGAGTAGCTACCAGCCTCACTACGCAGCCCTGCTGCGCTCACCGAGAACAGCGCCCCTGGGTGCACCCCCCCTCCTGGCCTGGCCACTCCTGAGCCCCTTGGAGGAGAGGAGGGTCTCCGGGGAAATTCCAAGCCTTTGCCCGTCTGGTTCAGAATCTGCAGCCTCCTCCTGGCCAGTCCTGGCACTCCGATTTGCCCCTGACGGGTTCCTCCAAACTGGGTAGAAAAACGGGCGCTGTCCTCTCTGCCTCTGCGGTGCCCAGGCACGTCCACCACCCACAGGCTCCTGGGCTTTCCCCAAGCAGTAGGCAGCCACTCCCAGGGCAGGAAGGGCCAGCGGAAGGCTGCCGGTCAGAGAGCCCACGGGCATTTACCGTGCCGTCTTCCCCCAGGCAATCCAGCACATCGAGGGGACTCAGGAAAAACAGCTGCTGGAGGAGGAAGAGCAGCGCCGGGGCGCAGTCATTGTGACCCCTGCCCGGGCCAGCCTGGACCCCGCGAACTTGGACACGGCCTCTGACCTGGAGGCAGAGGACGACGATTCCATGGAACACAGCAAGGCCGGGGTGCCCTGACCTCTGCCTGGCAGCGGGAGGGCGAGCAGGGTGGGGGCCAGGGGACTTCAGGAAATGTGCTGAAATTTTTACAAAATACCGCAACTTTGGGTCTATTTTGTGACCTTCCAATACTGTAAGTGAGAGCATTAGGACGGGGATGAGCTGGACATTGGGCTCTCCAGTTTGAAGCAGCTGGGGGAGTCAGCAAGCTGCGAGCGGCCAGGCTCTTCCAGGACACGGCTGGGCAGTCGGCGCCTCCCGGCTCAAAGGATGGATTTTCTCTGGCGCCTCCGGCCGTGTGAGGAGTCCCTGGGGGCCTTGCTCCTCTTCGGCCTTGCTCCTGGCCCTAGGAGGGACGAAGGGACCCCCGAGGCCTTCTCAAAGCTCCAGGGAGAAGGCTGGTGGAGGTAGGCCTTGGGGTTGCCTCTGCCTCCCTGGTCCTCCTCGCACACCTCTTGGTGCAGGGAGAGCCCTGAGGCCCCTCCGTTCTCGGGGGCTGGTTCAGAGCCTGGGAAGAGAGCACAGACCCCCCCCCTTCCTCTGGGTGGTTTTGTTCTTGGAAGCACTTAAATCCGTTCAGTGGGCCGACTGGGTCCACGCAGAAGGAGGGTCCTGCTCCGTGGCAGTTGCTGTCGTTGCATTCTGTGCCTCCCCGTCTCCCCCCACCCCCATTTGGGGAGAGGCCTTGGCCAGGGCTTTTTCGTACTGGTTGCTTTTGGTAGGTTCCCCCCCCCCACAACTGTTCCTTTGTTCTTTCATATTTTTATATGGTTTTTTTTTTTTGTTCTTTTTTTTTACAAGTTTTGGGTCTTTGTGTTCATTGAGATGCTATTATATTTTGTTAAGAAAGTGGAAAAATGAGGCTTGTGCCTTTGTAAAGAAACAAAATAAAGTTTGTACTTTGTTTTTTATACGTCTTGTTTAGTCTTTGGCTAAAGTTGGGGGACGGAGGCAAGAAATTTGTGGGAGGGGCTTCAACCCTCTCCCAGAAGAGGGAGGAGCCTCACAGCCCTTCTTCCCCGTCTGCTGGAATCCTCTCCCTAGCACCTGCCTTTCTCTGCGTGCAGTGCCTGTGTTGCCCAGCAGAGGGAGCTTGTGCTTACCCCGCCCCTTGGTGGAGCAAGAGGGTGGGGGCAGGAGAGTTTTTGCTCCTCTGGCCTAAAACGTCATGGCCTCAAGTGGCCAGTTAATCTCCCCCCCCCCCCCTTTCCCTGGGGCAGGGGGTTTTTGGGGGGGGGGCTGGTTTACCAAATGGGCATGTTTGGGCAGCCAAAAGCAGCAAGCCGCCTCCTTCATGGGGTCTCTTCAACCTTTGGGGCAGCTTGGCCTCCCCTGCCCCCCCCCCCGCCTTTTCTGCCAGTCGGGAGGAAGGTTGGTTGGCAACGTTTTCCCCTGGGTCGCTAGTTCTCTTGTGACCCAGCCGTGCCCTTTGTCTTGTGCCCACCAATTTCCTGTTCTTGCCCCCCCGAAAGCTACCAGCTTCACCCACCATCCGCTCTGAGGCATTTTGCAGGCTGGGGGGGCTGCCCGGCTCCTCCGTGGCCATGCAGGTCACCTGAAAATGCTGTGCCAAGGCAGCACTGAGCTGGTGGTTGGGTTCCTTCTCCTGAGTCCCTGGGCAGGAAGAGCTGGTCCCTGCCCCTCCTCCCCCCCCTCCCCCCCCCTTCTCCCTCTCCTCCTCCTTCTTCTCCATCTCTCCCCGCTGCCCGTCCTCTGGGACCTTGGCTCTGGGCTCAGCCCTGGGCAGCAGCTGCCAGGACGCCCCTCCTCTTCCCCCCTTAGTGGCTGCCTCTGAGTGGGGACTGACGGAGGTTGGTGAAGAGGCCGGGCGGGGAGGGGCCTCCAGTAGTCCAGCACCGGCACCATCGCCTGCGTGGGCCCTGCGGCCAAGCGGCCACCTGCTTCTCCGGAGCCTTCCCTGGTATAAATAGCGCGGAGGAAGGGGAGAAGGCTCCTGGCAGCCAGCATGGCAGCGCTGAGGCTCTTCTGTTTCTGCCTGGCACCAGCTGTGCTCTTCAGGGCGGCAGGTAGGGCCCCTTGTTTCCGAAGGCCCAGAACTTCCCACGGGGAGGGCCAACATGCCAGGCCTGTGGCAGGCAACCGGGCAGGGGGGTGGCAGCCTTGAGGCGGAAGGAGGGGGCCACCGTGGGACGGAGGGGAGCCAGAGGAAGAGCGGCTGGGCTATGAGATCTGTAGGAGCCGTGCTGGGAGCACCCCGCTCCTCTCCTCTGTGCTTGGAGACCTATTACCCCAGGGATCCCCTGTGTCTTAAGGGCCCCAGGGTTGCCCCTCCCACTGGGGTTTTCCGCTGCCTACTCGGGGCCCCTGGGCAGAACTATGTGGCATCCGACACCTTCCCCTTGGGTGCCCTTGAGTTAATTTGGTGCTGCTGGCTGGGCGCTGCCTCCCAGCTGCCTCCCGGAGCTAAGTATGGAAACAGGCGTGTAACTGGAGCCCTGCAGCCTCTGGAGCCCCTCCTGCCTTCCCCATTGCCCTCATCAGCTCAGCTGCTGCCTGCTCAAACTGTCACAGGCGCTCTGGACCAGCTGTAGCCTTTTAAGGCCATATTGCATCGTTCCCAGAACAAAAGGGAGATGGACAAGCAGGGCTGGGGGCTGCTTTCCTCCCCCTCCCCCTCTCCTTCCCTCCCAGCAGCAGGACGCCCCTGCGGGTCTGGGGGACGAGGGGGCTTGGCCTCATTTCCCAGCTTCTACAGTGGATGCCCCCAGAAGGGGCAAGGTGGAGGGGGAGTCTCTCCTCACCCTGGATGGGGCACATGGTAACCACGGGTGGGCTCTACCTGGACCAGAGGCCCTTCCTTGTCCCATCGGAGCAGTGCAGATCTAGCATGATTCTTGGGGGGGGGGAGGCATTCTGTGACCTGGAAGCTCGTTTTGGGGATGCATTGAGTGGGTCGGTCACAGGGCTTCAGCTCAGGACTCCCTCTCAGGACTGGGCTAATGCCAGGGCCAGGCCTGCGCCTGGGGAGGACCAGAGGAAAGTGTTGTGTCTCTGAGCGAATTCATGGGAAAGGCTGCTGGGCCTCCCAAGGACTTGCTGAGCAGCCACTTCCCGCCTGGCTCTCTTCAGCAGCTCCAGGCGGAGTATGAAGGGCTTCCGTCGCCCCGGCTGCGCTGACCCAATTTCGGGGGCGGGGTGGGGGGCGCTTTCCTCCGCTGTCTCACCAGCTGTGTGTTTCCTCTGGTTGGCGTCTGCTGGGGGGGGGGGTGGCTGCAAAGCAGGAAGCTCCCCCCGGAGTTCTGGGGTGGGTGGGGGGCAGGAGGCTGGGTCCCCTCCGGACAGGCCCTCGCTCAGCCCGGCCACTTGCCAGAGACCCTGCTGGGCTCCGGATGCCCTAAAGCAGTTCCGAAAGGGCTCCACACCATCGGAGCCGCAGCCGGCAGGGCCCGCCCGGGGCCGTGTGTGGAGATGGGGCAGCGCTTCTGGCTTCCCACAACAGCCGCTCTGGGGGCTTCGCTCACCCCTTCCTCTCGCGCACCCACCCAGAACAGGCACGCGGGGGGGGGGGCGCGGAACTGGCCCCTTTGTCTCCTCGGCCGAAGGGCAGAAAAACAGGCGCGTCTCGCTTTTTTCTCCGGGGTCGTAAAAGGAAACCGGAACGGCGCTTCTCTGGAGCGCCCGTCCAGCTCTTCTCAATCCGGCCGCCAGAGGGCTCCCTTGAGACGGGCTGGCGGGGCTGCCGGAGCCAGCGGGAGACTGGCGCCCCCTCCTTCCCGGGTCCCGGGGGCTCAGCTGAGGGAGGGTCCCGTGGGGGCGAGGGCTGCTCGAGGGAAAGGTCCGAAGGATCCCCCATCATGGCGCCAGACCCCTCCCATCCAGCTACTCCCCCCCCCTCCAGCTCAGGTTGCTTGGCCTCCCCCCCCCCCCCCCCCCCCC